TCTGGTGGGATTTACAGGGCCCTCAAAAGCCCCTCTTGGACACCTCTGGCCACTTCCTCCCACCCCCAACTTCCACTATCCTGAGTTCTTGTTCTTCAGAGGATCTGTGTCCCATGGGCCGGACATCAACACACTCTTCAGGCTCCTTTCACAGCTATTCAGATCCGTGTTAAGGGCCTCACAAAAATATATTCTTTTCTTGGTGTTTTTTCCCTTCAAGTCATTAATAAAAATCCAGGCATGCTCCCTTTCTCCCTGGAATGTCTGTGTGTCGCTCCACTCACTCTGGGTGGAGACAACAAATGCTACAGGGATTTTGGTGGCCCTTGTCACACAGCAGTGGGACATGTGGGGCTGTCCTCAGCCATGGACTTGTGAGTAAGACACCATCCCCATCTGCTCCTGTGCCTCAGAAGCTTTTGCAATAGATAGGTCCCCTGTGAAAGAACACCTGGGCAGGTAGAATGACACCTCACATGGAAGCATATGTTCACACACAATGCTTCCCAGAATAGCTTATTCTGTTGCCCCCTTTTCAAAGAGGAAAGAGTCTATGACAGGCTGACTCTCCTGAGGTCACCCACGGTGTGACAGGGAAAGTCTACTTTCCACTATGGGTCACTCTATTACAAAGCTGCCTCTTTGAGGACATCCCAAGGAAGTGCAGGCAAGCAGGGGCCTTACAGATTTCTCACCATAACGACAGAAAGATTTCTTACTAGAAGGGTGCAAGAAGGGATCTCCACAGTCCGTCATTGAAAGTATTTCAAACCACAGAGACCAACTGTGAGCTCAAGTACCCTGATTTGAAAGGATATTTACACCGACTTTCCAGAATCTGACTTTTGTGGAAGAAAACTGTGAAGTGAACTACACCCTGCAAAGAAAAGAAAGAAAGCTACGTGCTCAGTGAACACGTGCTCGTGTGAGTGCCAGCGCTGGCCCTTCCCAAATGCAGCGGCAGAAGAAAGTGTGAAGCCTGCTGAAATAAGAGTATTTATGGCTGCAGAAATTCAGCTGCACATAACGGTAATTACGAACAAGATATTTTCCCCAATAAAATTACTGCAAAACAAAATCTGGAGAAGCTAAGTGTTTCCCTATGTTCTCTTTATTTTACTCCATGTGCTCAAGGATGATTTCGTGAAAGAAAGGGAGAGAAAGAGAAAGAGCAAGGAGCTGGGGCGCCCTGGCGAGCCGGCCTCTGCGGAGGGTTGGTTCTGCTTTAGAAACTGGAATGTGTCCAGGCTTGATTTTTATTTTCAATTCACATTTCAGATCCAGCTCCCCCCCCCCCCCAACTCTTTGATCTTTCTCCCTGTCTCCTTACCCGGAAGAGAACCCTTGGCCTTCTCAGCTGGGAGCTGGGAGCACACGTGGAAAGACTGGCTCGGATTCATATTCTTGCCAAATTTAGTCACACAAAGGGGCCTGCGAGGGAAAAAAGAAAGGATGAAAGCGGCAGCCGCCGACTTCAAAGGCCGCGCCGCCTAGCCGAGCCGGGCAGGCGCCGCCCTCCGTGGATATAAGGAGAGGCCGGGCTGTGCGCCTTCATCCCGGGCGGCATCGGGGACACGGGGGACATGGGGGACTCGGGGGGCGCAGGGGACGCAAGGATGCGGTGTCTGCGACAAGTGAAGGAGCCTGGGTAAAATTTCAGAAAGGGACGGGACCAGGTTGTTCTTCTGGGCCACGCACCCCGTCGCCCCCAAGCCCACAGTGTCCCAGGCCCTTTTCCACCCGGCGCCCGTCGGGGTGGCCCTGCCTGGGCGCAGGACCGGGCGCCAGCCCGCCCTCATCCCCGCGGGTCCCTCGCCGCGGGCAGCGCCGCGCCCCGTGTCCCCACGCGGTGCCCACGCAGGCGGGGACCATGTCCTCCCCCAAAGGCCGGTCGTCCGGATCTGGAGACCGGGTCACAGTCCCACGGGTTCCCGCTTGGCCCCGGGGTGGGGGTAGCGTCTGTTTGTCTTAGGAGGAGGCGAGTAGAGGCGGAAGAGCCCTGGGGACACAAACTGCCGCTTCCCTCGCTCCCCACTCCTTTTCCGTTCGACTGAAGGCGCCCGCGCCTAGAGTCCCCTGGAGACGAGGGGGACACGGAAGGGGCTGGGTGCCGACCCTGGGTCACGGGGTTCGTTTTTTCCAGTTCCCTCCTCCCTGCCTCTCCAGAGCATCCTCTCAGAAACCCCACCTTCCTCGGATCCCACCAGGGCACAGTGGGATAGAGTCTGGCCCACCGGAGGGGATCAGGCCGGGTGGAGACAAGGCCTTGGCCGCGCCTCTCTAGGATCCTTGTAACTGAAGACTCGCCCAGGTCCCAGAAGCTGGGGAGTGCGCACCCCACCCGGTCCCCAGTGTTGATCTCAAACAAGTTTTCTCCCTAACGACACCCAAACCAACCCGAGCCACGGGAGGCGGGGAACCAGCAGCTCCGCAGCCAGCCCTAGCGATAGTTTCACGGTCGCAATTAAATCCCATCAAAACGCCCCCTGAAATTCACATCCTGCAGGAATGAGCCTGCAGCCTGCCAGCCTCATCCTCGCCCGAGTTCACAAGGGCGACCTTCCTGCCTCAGCACTCCAGAACAGGGGCTGCGGGCTTCCCGGAACCGAGGTGGCAGAGGTACCCAGCCCACAAGGGTAAGGGGAATCTCCTTCAGGGACAACAGCACCCCGCCTGCGCCCCCTACTTTTTCCTAGAGACTTCACCCGGAAAGGCCAGCCTCCCAGACAAAGCCTCGAGACGAGGGGCGCACAGTGTTAGCAAACCCCTTTCAGGAATCACAGCCCTTCCTACGACTTGGGCAAGGTTTAGGCCGCCAAGGCCTCACCCAGCGAGTCCGATGTGCGCTGGGTGATTTCGTTCGAAACAAGGCTTCCGGAGAAGAGAGGCACAGCCCAACTCCAGCACGGCCGCCCACCCTCGGCCTCCTCAGGCACAGTTGCCACTGGTTATTGTTCCCCGAATTCCCATCTTCTCTGGCTCCTAATCTCCAGGACACCTGGAGCTGAGCTCCACAGGACGTGGGGAGTCCAGATAATTAACATGTAGGAGAAAATGGGAATTTGAATTAGTTGCAACTCTTGAACCAGGCATTTGTAGGAGTCCTCCTTTAATCTCTCCGTGGCTCCCAGAAAAATACCCTCTGGCCATCCTGTGCCCCCTGCCCCTCCTGCGCGGGAGGAAAGGTTGCCTACATATTGGCAGTTTTGATGAAACTCCATCTTAAGTCCTTGTCCTATCCGTTATGTTAGTGCCGTCATAGAAGGGGTTTGGGCTTTGTTTTACGCTAGTTCTTTTAGATCAGGGGCTCCACAGTCAGGTCCCCAAGACAGTCACTCACCCTGGTGCCAAATTTCAGTGGACGTTGTACACCAACGCTATCACAAAAGCAAAAATTGGATTTATTTCTCCATGCTTTCTATTATTGCCTTATGGACACACTACAGCATAATATTGTTTTTGTTCTTCTTTCATGCTTAGGCATTTAAGAGTAAAATAGTTTTATTTTTCCTGGCCCTCTTTTAACAACCCCTAAAACTACCCAAATCTCATGCATTGAATTTATGCGTGACTATGGGCCATATCCTATGGGGCCAAGCCAGCGTTTAAGTCAGAGTTTTTAAAACTATTTCCTAGTTAATTCCAGTTCCTGTAAATCAGTGGTTATCAGTAAGCAAAGTTTTAAACCCTCGTTTAGACCTGTTAAAGTCTCTGCTTATTTAGAGAAGAGAGGGATCTGAGCCTGGCCATTCCTACACTGCAGAACTGAAGCCTGATTATGAGATTTTTCTTTATTTTCAATTTAAGGGAGCTGAAGATGCATTTCTGCCTGTTCCCTGTTTACTGTTCTGGGGTTTGACGGGTGGCTGCTGCTTCGGGTGTAATAATTTCACCCGGATTTTAACTAAGGGAGGTAGAGAACCAAGGGACAAAATGTGTTTTCAAACTTCCACTCTCCTGCTACTGTAACTTCACAGAGTGGCTCCTTAAAAGCCCTCTCCGGGTACAAACTGCATCAAAGACACGGTGAAGACCGGGAAGGTCTGAGGTCGGATTCAGATTTGCATCCTTAAGGGTTCCTTTCAGCGCTTGGTCCGGGGTGCCAGGGACTCCCTTCTTCCCTCCCTCCGCGGGCTCCGCTCTCCCGGGGCTCCTCCGCCTTCTCTCCCTCTTCTCATGCTCTACAAGGTCCCCACAATCCACAGCGTGGATCTCGGAAGCCCACGAGCGATCTCCAGGAACTCTTCGTACATCCCGTGGTGACTGAGCAAAGAAATGGACACTGTTTAAAAGGCGATCTTTCAGCTCCCTTCTTTATTCCTTCCTCCTCCTCCTATTTTTCTCGGTAAGCTTGGAGATTTTTGTTTTCGCTAGCGTGTGCTTCCTCTGTCTTCAAAGGGCCTGTGTGTGACCCGAGGCTCCGGGAAGCCCAGCTCTGCTTCCCTTGCCCTTCTCCTATTAGCTGAGCCCTGTCTGGTCTGTTTCCCCCTCCCTGCTCTCTGTCCCCAACTCCCGTCGCATCCCTCCCGAGCATCTATCCTGGCGCGGTGTGGATCACCGCTGCGGCTTTCTCTTTCATCTTCCCAGCCTGAGCTGGGGAGGGTGCGTGGGCGCCGGGCGCAGGACGCAGGGCGGATGGGGTGTGGGTGGGGCAAGGGCTGAGACAGTCGGGTGCAGTTGGGCCACCCAGGCCGAGTGTCTTGTCCACTCCAGGCAGGCTAACGTGCCTCCCGGTGGGTCACCGGCAGCACTCGTCTCTCCTTGCCTCGCCAAGTTGGCAGACCCTTCCCTCCAGGCTAGCGCATACACACCTCCCCAAACTAGGGCTCGTCCTACAGGCTCTGGAAAAGCAGAATTTTTTTTAGAGCCCTCAACCACCTCCCCCCTCCAGTGGGCAGCCAAGGAGAGCGGGAGGCGGGGGAGGGGCGGGGAGTCGAGGCGACGCAAGTGGGCAGCTTTTCAGCGCCGGCGAGGCGCGGGAAGAGGCGGACAGACGGTGGGAGGCTCGGTGGCACACCTGCGGGGCCGGGCGCCCAGAGCAGCGGGCTGCCGGGAGCGGGACGCGCCCAGCCTCGCGGGCGGCCAACTTGCCGTGATCCCCTCCCGTCTGCCGGACGACCCAGCACTCGGACGCCGCGGAGGCGTGGAGAGCCGGCGAGCCCAGCTGGGAAACCCGAGCCGGGAACAAAGAGGGACCCGGCTGCGAGCGTGCGCCTATCAGCCGGGGCTCCGGAGCAGCCTTGGGGCCCAGTTCCCGGAGTGACGCCGAGGACCTCGCTGGCCCCAACCGCCGGTGTCGGCGCAAGAACTTCACTCTTGGCAAACTTCTGCGCTTCTTCTCGCGTGCTCCGCCACCCATCTCCTCCTGAGGCTGCAGACCACCTCCACGCTTTTGGAGGAGAGAAGCCGAAGCGAAAGGCTCGGAAACTCGGAGCTGCAAGCAGACACCGCCAGCTCGGCTACCTCTTCATTTTTATTTTACTCCCCCCCTTATTTTTCTACTCTCCAGGAAGTGGACTTTTCATTCTCTTCTGATTGATTCTCCGGGCCCTTTCTCCGTCTCCGCCGGTGCACACGGAGCCTTGCTCAGCTCCCCTCTCCTCTCGGGAAGCAAACTTCTCAGCATTCAAGCCATCTACAGGGTCGAGGCGCGCGGGGACGCGCTTCGGGACCCCGTAGCCCCACCCTGGTGCGCTCCGGCCGCGGCGACCTGGGGATAAAGGGTGACCTCGGCCCGGCCCGCCACGCGTGCAACACCCGGAGCCTGCGGCGCTCGTTTGCCCCCCGCGCCCCTGGACTGAGCTCCACGACCCCGGCACTGACGCCCCAATCTCTCCTGCTGTCGCCGCGGGAGCTCCTCCAGCGGACCGGGGATTACACGGCCGCCGGGATGCCCCAGCTCTCGGGGGGAGGCGGCGGAGACCCGGAGCTCTGCGCGACGGACGAGATGATCCCCTTCAAAGACGAGGGTGACCCCCAGAAAGAGAAGATCTTCGCGGAGATAAGCCACCCGGAGGAGGAAGGCGACCTGGCCGACATCAAGTCCTCCTTAGTGAATGAGTCTGAGATCATCCCGGCCGCCAACGAACACGAGGTGAGCGCACTACCGGTCGGGGAAGCTACACAAGAGAGCCACTGGGTCCCTGGTTAGCGGTGGCGTCGCCGGCGGGAAGCTTCTCCCCGAGCCCCGCATCGGTTGGGAATGCGACGCGTTAAAAGCTAAGACTTGTAAACAATGCCACGGGGAAGTTCGTGCCGAGCATCAAAAACAAAGTGCACCTCTGCTGCGCTGTTCCGGATGGATGCGCGGCAGACGCGCGATAAACCGAGGGCGCAGCGGAGCGCGGCCACAGCGGGAGCCTAAGCGGCTGACGTGGGCGGCTTCCCAACCGCCTTAACGCTGGGCCGTGGGGGGACTGTGTGGGGCCGGATCCAGGGTCTCACGGGCGGGTGGTCGCGAGTAGCGACCGTGAGCCGCGGCAGAGCCTTGCGTGCGCTGAGCCTAGCAGTCCTGCGATCGCGGACACCACTGCTCCAATTCCCATAGTTTAAGGAAGGGGGAACTTTTATTTGGGGTTTGTCAGGGCCCAGATCAGGCCTCCAGTCTATGCACAGAGAAAGGCAAGCTGTGCAGCAGCGGAAGCGCTTTATCAGATCTCAGGCTGCGCTGCAAGCGCGCCAGTAACCCGAGAGGGTAAATAGAGACACGTGGGTGTAGGCGCCCAGGGCCGAGAGCGGGCAGCGCTAGGCTATTTCAGGCGAGCTCTGGGCTAGGGGCTGGGGGAGGGACTCTGACACTTGACACCCCCCTATCCACCTCGTCCAACAACTGGGAGCTCCTCCGGAGGAAATCCGGTGGAAGAGGCCTGACACCCAAAAGGTTTCACCCACGCTTTCTCCCTGCAGAGAAACTTTGGAGGTATACCCTTTTTCCTTAAATGGCATCCTTCCCCCAAAAAGAAAGCGCGTGGTTTGGGGGCGGGGACATTTTGGGTCTTAAACTGCACGTTTAAGAACACCTCGGAGTTCTCTGTCCGGATGGCAGGGGTGAGTACACGTTTTGGACGGGTGGGGACCTCAGCTCCAAGGAGAACCCGTAAAGGTGTTCTTGAGCGCGGGATCCAGGGTGAAGATGGAGTGCGGGGGGCGGGGGCAAGGTGCACCCAACCTCCTCTTCCATGAGAGATCCGTGAGTCTGTGGGAGGGTGAGGTCATCTGGAGGACACAGGCCCAGGGAACGAACCAATAATGTCCAGAGCACTCAGGCTTTCTGCCAAACTCGTGTCCTTGTAGAGCAGCCTCTTTCTTCCTCTCCATTTAGCTTTTCCTTCCTCAGCCCATAAATGAAGCTGCCACCTGCTTCACATTTTCTGCACTGCTCAGGTCTGGGGAGACAGCCTGATGGTCTGGCGGTGGGGGTGAGGAGCCGCGCCCCAGGACGATTGAGCAGGGGAGACCCCTACTTTGCACGTGGTTAAGTGTGCATGGATGGCAGTTACCAAAGCTGATGTTAACGGGGTTGCTTCTTAGATAACCCAACTCTCAATTTTCCCCCCTTTAACCACAGAATAGTTTTACTTTGCCCTTGTCAGCCTGCACCCAGTCAGCCCTACTGGGCTCTGAGGCCTGGTGGAGCTCTGGGACAGTTTCCTTAATACCCCATTGGAGTGCTTGGCTTGTTTATATTTAAAATGACATTTTTCAGCTGCAAAATGACAATCAGCCTGCTTTTAATCAGATCTAATTGAAGCAAACAGAGTCTAAAGAGACTATCAAAACGATCAACCCCGTTAGGTCTATCAGTGCCTCTCACGCCAGGGTCCCAAGTAGCCTTGGTAGGTTTTGGTAAACAGCAGTCAGAATAGCACACAAATCATTACCAGATTTATTATGTTTTCGTTGTCAGTATTTCTACTTTTTGATCCTGAGGAGATAATAATAGCTCAAAAAATACATGTTGAAATAAAGATTCCACAGTTCTGCAGCCTCACTTATTATCCTTCCTATACTAACTAAATGAATGAGTAGAGTTAGCATTGGTCGTGTGTTGTCCCAAACTCTAAGGTGATTTTCTTTCTTTTGGGTGGGGATTCATGCTGTTAGGTGGCCCGTCAAGCACAAGCCTCTCAGGAGCCCTACCACGACAAGGCCCGGGAACACCCCGATGACGGTAAGACTGATTCTACCACAGTCCACCGTCCCCTGGATGTGTGTTGTGTGTACTGGATTTGTTCTGCTACTTTTATTTGCATTCAAGAGACCACGACCAAACGTGATAAGAAGACGACCACTATTTTACAGAACGGGAAAGGAAGCATGGGCCATTTCTGATTTTTCTCTAATGTGTGTTGCAATATTTAAAAAACTGTCCTTGAGTTAGAAGCCTTTGGATTTCAGTGGCCTTTCAGATTCTTGGGGTTGGGGAAGCAAATGTCTCCAGTGAGGTGGGTTCCCTCGCAACAATAACAGTTTTGAGTGGATTTTCATTTGCAAAATGTGCTGCTTCCAGGTCACTACAGCAAGAGGGCAGGCAGTGAGGAAACAAGGCTGAGTAAAGCCCAAAGGCAATCTCACTTATAAGAACAGAAAACTTACAAGTTGAAGCTGTGTAGCAAGCAGGGGAGACTTTCTTTCAATTTCTGATGCTTGCTAAAAACTTCAAAAGTTGTGAGTAGGTACAAAGTTTTTATTTTTAAGGAAAGCTCCCTATGGCTTGAAAAGAATCAGATAAGTGGTTGCATTTGCTTGCCAGCTGCTGTGCATTTGTGGTGTCTCTTAATGACTTACCTATCACCTGGCCACACTAGCGTGTGGGTATCTACAACTTGCCAACCAGAGGAAGGGCTCAGGGACAATACAGCAGGCCTCCGTCCTGGTGACAGCAGTCACATGGATTAAAGTACATAAACTGAACACATGGATTTCTCTGGCTGACAGATGAAAGCATACATAAAAGCCTTCCAGAGTGAATCCCTTATAAATGTGGTCAGTTGCTCATAATCTAGATATAACTGTGTCACTTAGTAAGTAATAGGTTAGAGTTTTTGAGTTTGCCTGAGAGGAGAAATGTAACGAGTACATATATGTTCATGTCAGCACATATATGTGTATACAGATGGATGGCCTAATATATTTATATTACAGCTTTACGATTGTGTGTCCTCTTTCGTGTTTCTGTATTTCTTAGTCCAGTTTGTTAGGATTAAGTTAAATTAGATGTATAATACTTATTTTCGTAAAAGCATCAGCCAGTATTGGAAGTAAATTGAACCACATGTTTTTTAAAACATCTGGTGCACTGCTAAGCCTTTTAAGAGAATAGATGCTGTCAGTCTAAAATACAGCATAATAATCCAGTAGTGATGTTTATAAACAAATCTTTATGTAGAACTTCATTTGCTGTAGAACTATTCTATTTTTTTCTAGTGAAAAATACAGTGGTACAAAAGGGAAGACTGTATACATTATTGACAGCTCTTTGCGTTCTCGCAGGAAAACATCCCGATGGAGGACTCTATAACAAGGGACCCTCCTACTCCACTTACTCTGGCTACATGATGATGCCAAATATGAACACTGACCCATACATGTCCAATGGATCCCTTTCGCCACCCATCCCAAGGACAGTGAGTACCGTGCTGATGTTGCCAGTTATTCTCAGAAGTGCAAATTGATTTGTTTTCCAGCAGAATGTTGATGGTTTTGTTTTGGAATACGTTGGAAAGGCTTCCCAGCCAGTCATTGTTAAAGTAAGAGTTGCTGCGGGGAGTGAACAGTGCTGCCTTCAAATAGTGCCATCTTTGATGTCTAGCATTTGGAATTTTAGCTTCCGGTTTGTTGCTTGAGGTTAATAAATAACATCTTAAAGTGAAATTTAATGACTGTCAAAACAACAAATCCATGATTGTGAGAATTGTGCTTTTCATACTGATGACAGGGAAAAATGGATTCAGTCTTTCAGTTAACTAGAGACTGATGGTCTTGCAAGGCCTTAAGCCATCTAGAGGAAAAACTATAGGCTCATTTAGAGCTGAACATGCAGGTTGTCACTTTGGCTTTCAAAAGTGTCTCACTTTATTTTAATGTTAGCTACTGTTTGTGAAGGGTGGCTGGGCTGTTTTTACTTCATTGTCAGTTGTTGAGAAAGTATCATTTGCAGATTCCTGATGAAAGTTGTTCCTTTTTTATCTCATGGTTCAGTTCACTTCTGAAGTTCTAAAACTCCAGTGGCAGCATAACTGCATTATGCAAATGTGTTGCTTGGAGGATTTCAAGTTTGTCACTGGATGACAGCTCCCTTTTTTGGAAAGTGGAAACCTCACTTATGGAGTGAGGATATGTCTGAAGAGTAGCTGGTATGGGATGTGATCCTAAATCTGGGGAGGGAGTCTCAGAATCATTCCCCAGCCTCGGGATGGATCCTTAGGGGTCCCTTCCCTCTAAGTATCTTTTTCTCCAGCCTCAGCTCCCTCCATCCCCTACCCGCACCTCTACCTCCCACCCCCCCGGTGGAATGCATGTGCGCCTTAGATCTCCAGGTCAGGGTTCCAGTCTCACTTGTTACTCTTGGAGGCCAAACCCCCCCATCATAAAAGGAGCCTGGGATCTTTGTCAGCTGCTGACAAACTGAAAAAATCACAAGCAACTGGGAGAGATGGTGTCCTCAGTGTCTCTGGGGACAGAGGTGGAGGCCTGGTCCCCAGCCAGCAGTCACCAGCAAAGTGTTTGATGTCATGCTTTTCCTGCAGCCCTCGATGGTCAGAATGAGAGGCACAGAGCTCTGACCACTCTGTGGGCACTGTGATTACACAGGTAGTGCATTTATTTCTCCACAGATTTCAAAAGATAATTTGGCTTTCTCAAGTAGGGGATAAGTAACACTTTTCTAATTTTCATATAGCAGCCAAGATGGAGCTCTCGGGGACTGTGTGGTGGATGCCGTAGGAAAAAAGCTATTTCATATTCTATTTTATTTTATTTTATTTTATTGGCATAACTGGGGATTGAACTCAGATCCTTGGCACTTGCCAGGCAAGCGCTTATTCTACTGAGCCATCCTGCCTGGCCCCTCATGTTCTATTTTAAATTGATTTTTCAAATAGTTGGTGATATTTAGTGTTTAACTAAATGATAGTTAATGTGAAATGCACAAATAGACCTTAAAATGTGAATGAATTAAGCAACAGTAGTTTAATGTTTAGATACCACCCCCAAACAAATGCTTCTGAGTTCTCAAGTTTGTGGAAGACTTCCTATTTGTTGAACTAGATGTGCAGGTGTGTCACATATTCCTTTCGCAGTTGGGCAGCATTCTGGTTGTTGTTGTTCTTGGGAGAGAAGATCTAAGTATGTTTTACATACTTGAGGATTTCTTTTTTAGGATAACAAATCGTCTTTGAAATCAAACTAGTCTTGGTAGTAGTAAAAGCCACTGGTATCACCTACTTCGTTTCAGCTAGTTTAAGTTAGTTCGTTTTTACGCCATTTAATCTTTAGCAAGATCAGCTACTTCTTTCAAACAGTACTTTTTGTAAAGTCAGCAGTGTAAAAACATTGGAATTTTGTAAATAATTACTAAGAGTATTGAACAGTCAGCTTTTCTTGAAACCGCATTCTGCTGTAGGCTGCCATAGGGTTTTCCCCCAACCCTCATGTACTGGTCATTTTGAAATAGTGATAGAATGGAAGGTCTTTGTTGCTGGTGTCTGTATGAAAATTTTGAGGGCAGCAAATCAGTTATTCATTGCTTCAGAAGGGCCTGGGATATAGCTCAGCGGCTAGGCCAGATTTGTGGCCAGAATCAGTGTCAGTAGGCAGAACAGCGGACAGGTGTGATCAGGAAGTGGCTCCTCATCCACACTGTTGGCTGAGGCTTTGCTTCATTCTCTTGCATGTTAGAGCAGATTTATTTTAGCCTGTTTTCTTAAGATATTCTGCACTTTGCACAATTCCAGAAGCTTCTCAGTTTTAACCACAGGCCTTTGTCAGTTTTGTTTTTTTTAATGTCCAACCGAAGTGAGTTACAATCTTTGGTTTTTAATACCTACCAGCTGTTTTTTAATGTGTCTGAGATCAAAAACACTTTAACCGGAAGGCAGCCTCTCTTTTTCACCCCCAGCCACACTCTGCCTTCGTGTTCTTTAATCCTGTCCCCAGCAGGCTTGAGTGTTTGTGTCCCTGACATCCTCAGTGATGACTTTCATCAGGGTGTCAGGCAGGCGCAGGGTGACCATTTGTGCTGGGGTTCAGGGTGGGAGCAGCAGGGGCCTCCCTGGGCCTGGGATTTGCATTACAACTACTTGTTTACTGCATCTGTTGGGCCTGGGAACATCTGGGGCAGGGAGGGCCTGGACCACCGTGTCCGCCTGGACCCTTCTGTGCGCAGACCAAAAGCTAGCCAGGAGTCTGGCCCGCAGAACTGCTTTTGCTGGAAGCTCTTATGACTCCTCGTGTCCTTTTGGATGAACACTGGCACATGCATGTTTGTGCAGATTTTACCTACAACCTAAGTGCTGTGCGGTTGGGAAGGTGCACCTTCACCTAGTCTTCACCACTTCTGTTGGGAAGTTTTGATTGGCGAATTACTTCCCTCTAGAGCTGGAATTCTTGAGGATATCACCATCTGTACCAGAGACCTTGTGAATGAGCCTCTCATAGAATTTTAAGTAGTTCCCATAAATTGAACCTAAGAAGAAAACACCTGAGTTATGCATTTGGTGACAATGTGAACTTTTCAGACACTGAGCCTTGGTGGGACTGGTCTCGTGCAGGGTGCTCAGGGTTTTGGTGAGGATCCTGGAGAGCTGATTAAACACACAACCTTGCTTTCTCTAAACCTCATATATGGAAATCCCTGTCGGCCAGTGGGAAAATAGAAAAAGGAAAATCCTAGTCCTCACCCTGGAGCTCCTGTCCAAGGCCAGGGGCTGAGGCCCCTGGGAGTGTTTGGCTCGCCTGACCTCTGCACCTTGTTCTGTGGTCTCAGGCTCTGTGCTGTGAGACCACAAACCCATTTGTCCCTGCAGCCCAAATGTTTATCACCTCAGAGAAGCCCCTCATTTCTCTTCGGATGCCCAGGAGTGAGTGGGGGAGTGGAGCTGCCGGAAGCAGCTTTCTGCATTGCAGGTTCTCTGTGATCTTTCTTTGAGAGAATTTTAGGTGGGGAAGGAAGATGGCAGATGTCATCACGGCGATCATTTCTACTTTTATTTCTTAAGTTGGAATTGCTATCAGTGTGGCAGGAGTTGGTTCTTACTGAATTCAGTCAGTTCTGGTGTGTGATTTTTTACTTTAGGAAATCAGTATGTTGGTTTTTGGTGACCAACACAACTGTGTCTATGAGACCTTTTCTCACCCTTGTCCCACGGTCCTGCACTTGCCTACAAGCAGGCCCATTTCTCATCTGGAGTGGAGGAGCTCAGGTGGGCTTTATTAAAACAAGACCTCTGACCCAACCTACCAAGTGGGAAGGGGACCAAGCTCTGGGGGGAGTGGGTGTGGAGAGGAACGTAAACAGAACTGAGAGGTCTAATGCCCACCGACCAACTCCTCATGAGGAGTGGCATCGTTATGTACAGCCAATGTGTACTTTAAACATAAAAACTGAAGCCAACACCTCCCCAGCCTTGACTTTGAAGCGCCCCTACCCGGCACAGGCCTCAGGGCCGCTCTCACCTCTGCCGCTGTTTGCTGTCCAGCAGCACTTGTTCTGGAGGATTGGCCCAGAGCAGACTTGAGAGAGAGCACCTTGCCCCTGGCTCTGTCACGACCTGGCCTTGTAGCCCTTCCAGGACTTCCCTGGGGCATAGGAGAGCATTTCCAAACTGTTCACTTTTTTAAAATAAAGTAATTTGGTTATTCCTTTAGGCAGAACTGTGGGGCTTATGTAATTGAAGTTTTTAAGCAGTCAGGTCACTCTCTTCTTCTCCTATTCCCTTTTTCCTTGTTTATGTATTATAGACACTGTTAGATTTTTTTCCCCTCTTTTTTTGGTGCTGAGGGTTGAGCCCAAGGCCTTCTACCGCTGAGCTGCATCCCCAGGAACTTTTTATTTTTTATTTGAGACAGGGTGTCATTTTGCTGCCACTGTGGTCAATGGCTGACAGGAAAACACATGCTTTGTTTGCAGGTAAAAGTAGGGCTGGCATCTCATAGGTGCTGCCAAGGGTTGTTTTTAAGAGGGGATGTTCATTTAAATCCAGTCCTCATTAAAGCCTTTGCTTACGGACTATGCCAGGCTGAGCCAGGCTATAGGAAGCTGCTGTAGCAATCAGGAGACTTGGTCCCAGCAGGTCCTTGCTTGCTTAGAAGGGGGAGCCATTGAGCCGCAGATAATTAAAGAACATGTTTTAAGAGCTGTGCGTGTTGGTCTATATCTTCAACCCCAGCTCCTTGGGAGGCTGAGGCAGGAGGATTGCTTGAGTCCAGAAGTTTGGGGCCAGATTGGGCAGTGAGACACCATCTCCAAAATATATGTATAATATATGTATTATACTGAATCTTTAAATATATGTGTGTGTTTATGTATACATATCTATATTTTTGGATTTGTGATTATCTCTTATATATTAGGATTGATGAAGACACAGTGTAGGAACTGCAGACTGTGCTGTAAGCCCTTGATCGT